TAAAATATCTCCTTTTGAAGTGGACTTTGAGCTTTGTAACTTTGCGGATCTTTTTATGCTCAAATAGCAACATTACAGACTAACTAAAGTTGAAAAAGTGAAAAAGCATAATAGGACCCCTTTAAGTGAATAAAATGCAATGAAATGACTGTGAGTTACTTTGGATGAATTAGGGATTGGTAAAATGATAACTCATTAAAACTGTTTGACAAACTGCTAAAAATGCTTCTTTCAGCACATCTGTGTCTTTTTCATGACCCTCTGAATGGTACAGTATATTACAGTAGATACTTTACATGCAGTTCAGTATATTCCTGAGAACCAGAAATAAAAAGCTTTGTGAATTTAGTATTTTTTCATGTCATTACATTGTTTAGAGCATAAGAAAAAAATGGTAAAATAACATTTTTGAAAAATTATATTTTATGCATATGTTATGCTATGTCTTCTGTAGAGGACACCAGGACTCAGTTTTTCTAAAAATAAAATGACAAGAATAGACATGAAAAGGCAAAAACAATGGGATTTTTTTAAAAATCACCAATCAATCTTTAGGTTTCAGGATTTTTTTTCTCTGGAAAGCCCTAAATGTGCTCTGTACAGGACATCCAGACTTAAAACTGTGACATGTGAGGTCTCAGAGAAATTCACTAAAATATAATGTCCACTACAGAGGCAAAAACTCCATAGCTGGGTATCAGGAGCATATTCCTGTTGACCAGTGGAGGGCAGTGGTGACACAGGAGCCTCATGATGTGGAAATAACCAGAGCATGTAGTCAAACCACTGTTACTCTAGCACTCTGGTATGTAATCATCCACCTCAAGAGGTTCAAAAGAAAGAGAGAATGTCAGACAGAAGGAAATAAGCCATCTAACTGAAACACAAGAGGGACGAGAAAGACACCATGGTTGTTTTAGTTATTGGAATCTGGCCAGCACAATGATTTGAGTTTCTGTTACTAAATGAAACCATTTAACACTCTTTATCCTGAATAAAATATTTTTTTCCACTGGTGTTTTAAATATCATAGAGAATATAGAGATAATATGTGACTTATTTTTCCTTCAGTTGTTTATAATCATGTGTTATTTTCCCCCATGTCAATCGATAAAAAAAAAACAAATGCAAAAAAGTTCAGATAATAATACATAACTGGATTTGGAAGAGGCTTTTCTATTTACATGCATGATATATAATCCATGTTTACTACACTGGAGCATTTTTGAGGTTAATCTTTTGTCACTTGATAATAGTGATATTTAAATTTATATCAGATTAAATAAGTTTTATGTATTTTTGTTTGATGCAGGATTTGTGGTGCAGTAATTCATCTAGACTGCAGGGTAAATTTACTTCTCAAGATAAGAGAATATTTAAAATGCCATAAATTTACTAAAGAACCACATTTTTAAGAGCAGGAAATATTTTGAGCAATATTTATAGTTGCAAAGAGAAATGATTAAATGCAGCAAAAAAACGTTTCACTGCCTCCACAATTTCCCTTTAAAGGGAACTTCGAACTGCGTCCTCTTGGGGTCGCTATGGGGAACGCCTCGTCGTGACCCGTGTCTGAAGCATACATTGAAAAACACCAACAACACCTTGGCCACTACCGGAGCGACTATAGTATAAATAGGCACCGGGAGAACACAGCATCCTCTTCTTCATCTTCACTGACTGTTTTGTTTGAAGCGTGCATTTCTGTGGTAAGAGCGCATAGATCTCTATTCATATCATTATGGATAAAACATTTTTTTTTAAAAACGAGCACTAGCAAAGCGTTTAGAGGATGTGTGCATCTGTGTCGTCGTTATTTAACATCTGATGACACACACGATCTATGCGTTGTTTGTTTGGGCGAAGAGCACGAACGCGCTGTCCTCGAGGGGGCAATCGGCGTGCACTGCGAGCGTTTTCCAATGAAAAAGCTCCGCTCTCGTTTGTCTCTCTTTTC